AGGTGGTGCCAGTCCCTGTAGATGGTGCCAGTCCCTGTAGGTGGTGTCAGTCCCTGTAGGTGGTGCCAGTCCCTGTAGATGGTGCCAGTCCCTGTAGATGGTGTCAGTCCCTGTAGGTGGTGCCAGTCCCTGTAGATGGTGTCAGTCCCTGTAGATGGTGCCAGTCCCTGCAGGTGGTGCCAGTCCCTGTAGATGGTGTCAGTCCCTGTAGATGGTGTCAGTTCCTGTAGATGGTGTCAGTCCCTGTAGGTGGTGCCAGTCCCTGTAGGTGGTGCCAGTTCCTGTAGATGGTGTCAGTCCCAGTCGGTGGTGTCAGTCCCAGTAGATGGTGTCAGTCCCTGTAGGTGGTGCCAGTCCCTGTAGGTGGTGTCAGTCCCTGTAGATGGTGCCAGTCCCTGTAGATGGTGTCAGTCCCTGTAGGTGGTGTCAGTCCCTGTCGATGGTGTCAGTCCCTGTCGATGGTGCCAGTCCCTGTAGGTGGTGTCAGTCCCTGTAGATTGTGCCAGTCTCTGTAGGTGGTGTCAGTCCCTGTAGATTGTGCCAGTCCCTGTCGGTGGTGCCAGTCCCTGTAGATTGTGCCAGTCCCTGTAGATTGTGCCAGTCCCTGTAGGTGGTGCCAGTCCCTGCCTGTGGCGTTAGTCCCTGTAGGTGATATCTGTCCAATTGATGCCCTGTTTCCCTGTCCATGGTGTCAGTCCCTCTGGATTATATGGTTCCGTGTGCGTGCTGTCAGATATCATGGATAGCGTGATTTCCCGAGGGGAGTGTCACTCCCTGTATGTGCGGTGGGAATGGGTTGTTGGTATCAGTTGCTGTAGTTAGTTTCCGTTCTTGTAGATGGTGCTGTTATAAGCACATGATTGTGGACCTCTTACCCAGTGTCAGCCATTGTAGCTGTTTTGTAGATGCATTCTGACTCTGGTGATAGATAAGTGGCGTTGGGATGGAATGGTTAAATAAGTCACTCGAATCCCAGTCTGCACTTCCAGCATCAAAGAGTTTATTGAAATCACACCAGTAGGAAGTAACCGCCAGCACCTCAGAGGCTTCTTCACTGAACAAATGATTATACATTTGCTTTAGGGCCGCCTTTAGCAATTACAGACCATCATATTATTAATTAATTATGTAAACATCCTAACAATATAATCATGTGACTGTATGGGTCAGTGATGGGCAGCCTCATGTACAACCCTCAATCTTCCACCATTTCATGGTGTTTACCAGACACCTTTATCTCTATCCTTGGGCTTTTCACAATGCATCATGTTCAACCACATTTCAATCCTGCTGAGTTCTGTACCTATAATTCAAACCTTTCTGTTAGCGGTGTGGGGGCCTTTTCTTACTGTCTAGGCCTATATGTTCCAAAGTCATTCACTGTAATCTCTTTAATTCTTACTGTATTGTAAAAGTTTATATTTATGTGTGTGTATATTCATAATCTACAACTATGTATGTCTTGGAATCTTAACTAAAGTAAGTCTATTTGTGATGGATCTCAGACTTGAAACCAGCTGGATATGGTATCCTTCTATCAGCATGTTCTAGGGTTTCCTTATCCATCTGTCTCTGTATAAACAAGTCTGGAATAGGACCCTTCGTGTGCTTTCTTAACCTTGCTACCTTCGATATTTTATGTCAATAGAGCTTCTATTGTTCTAATTTATGACTTGCTTCCATGTAAACTATGGTATTCTAAATCAACTAAGCACAGTGGCTCAGTGGTTAGCACTGCTGTCTCACAGCACCAAGGACCTAGTTTGATTTCCCCCCAGCCCCCTAACCTCGGCCGACTGTGTGGAGTTTGCACATTCACCCCTTAGGTAGTGCCGTTATCAGTAGGCAGTCTCTTTCCCTGAAGTTGCTGGCAGTCCTTATCGGTGGGGTGTCTACATAGTGTCACTCTCCAAAGGTGATGTCTTTCCCTGTCAGTGGTGTTAGTCCCTGTTGAGGCTGTCAGTCCCTGTGAGTGATGTCTTTTGCTGTAGATCGTGATGGTCCTTGTAGCTGTTGTGTTTCCCTGTAGTTGGTGTTATTTCCTGTATGTTATGTGGGTTCCTGTATGTTATGTGGGTCCCTGAATGTGCAGTCAGACTGTGTCATTTACTGCAGATTTTATCATGTCCTGAAGGTGGCGTCATTCCCTGTAGATGGTATTAGTCATAGACCCACACAGCACAGAAACAGACCCTTCGGTCTAAACAGTCCACGCTGACCATAATCCCAAACTAAACTAGTCCCACCTACCTGCACCTGGCCCATATCCCTCCAAACCTTTCTTATTCATGTATTTATCCAAACATCTTTTAAACACTGTAGCTATACCCACATCCATCACTTCCTCAGGAAGTTCATTCCACTCATGAACCACTCTCTGTGCAAAAAAATTGTCCCTCGCATCTTTTTAAATCTTTCTCTCCTCATCTTAAAATGTGCCCCCTAGTCTTATAATCCCCCACCCTAGGGCAAAGACTCCTGCCATTCACCCTATTTATGCCCCTCATCATTTTATAAACCTCAATAAGGTCATCCCTCAACCTCCTACACTCCAGTGGAAAAATCTCCCAGCTTTTCCGGCCTTTCCTTATAACTCAAACCCTCCATTCCCGGCAACATCCTGGTAAATCTCTTCTGAAACCTCTCCAACTTAATAATATCCTTCCTATAACAGGGAGACCAGAACTGGACACACTATTCCAGAAGAGGCCTCACCAATGTCCTGTACAACCTCAACATAACGTCCCAACTCCTATAGTTAAAGGTCTGAGCAATGAAGGCAAGCATGCGAAACACCTTCTTAACCACCCTGTCTATATGTGATATAAATTTCAAAGACTTATGTACCTGAACCTGCAGGCCTCTCTGTTCTACGTTACTACTCTTGATTGTATAAGTCTTGCCTTTTGACTCATTGATCAAGATCCCTTTGTAATCTTCGATATTCTTCTTCACTGTCCACTATACCTGCAATCTTGGTGTCATCTGCAAACTTACTAACAGTCCCAAAAGTTCTTGTCACTTCATGTTGGTGTTGGCTCCTGTACATGTTGTCACACCCTGTAGAAAGTTTAAATCAATTTTTATAATTTTGCGCAGAAGAAGGAACAGTACAACAGAGGAATAGTCTCTTTGGCCCACCAAGCTGTGCCAACACATGATATCTTTCAAACTAAAAACCTTTAACCTCTATGCAGTCCATATCCCTCTATTCTCTGTATATTTATATCTGTCAAGATGCCTCTTAAACGTTGCTGATGTATCTGCCTCTACCACCTCTTCTGGTAGTGCATTCCATTCCTCTATGTAAAAAAAAACCTTGCCTCTTCCATCCTTCAACCTTACTCTCTTTTAAACTAAACCTAGTGACTGACATTTCTACCCTGGGGGAGAGATTTTAAGAGATACAGGCCCAAGTTAATCTTTGATGGTGAGAGATGAGATATGTAATTCAGAAGGAGTATTGCTGGAAAAGTCTTAAGATGCAGAATTCATGGTCAAAAAAGTAGTATAACATTGTATGAAGTAAGGTTTGAGAGACTGGTGAAAATTGGCAAAGTGATGGTCGAAGGGACACAACTAATGAATTAACTAAAATCAGTCCATATTGAATTAGTTTTTGGGCATCAGATGAGAGGACCACTCAAATTAATTTCAGGAAAATTGGTGCTTCCGAGTTCAGAGACCACATATTTGGACTGTTTGTCAAATTTTAGGGTAAGATTAAATAGAGTGGTTGAGTTAGCTGAACATTTAAAAGTACCTATGCATGTGATGGAACAGAAAGCAAACAAAAGGTCAAAAATTCTTAATCGTGTTGATGGAGATAAAGTGTTCGTGTTACTTCTAGCGATCTTCAAACCTGTGAAGGCGAAGTTTAGTGGGCCTTATCAAACCGAGGTGAATTATTTGATTAGAATTTCAGATAGAAAGAAATCTCACGGAGTGTGTTATACGAATATGTTCAAAAGGTATTTTAATAGGGAAGGAAAGCAAAAGAAGAACATATTACTGGTTGCGACACAGAATGAGGAACCAAGTTCAGAGGATTTTGAATTCGACATTCCTCAAATTAAATTGGGCAATGAGAAAGTTTTCAAAAATTGGGATAAATTATTGAATTACCTTCCAGATGTAAATCGAAGTGACCAGAAAGTGTTATTAATATCACGCTGGGAGATATGTGGGAATAAGCTGGAAATTACTAAACTGATTATGCATCATGTAGGTAAAGGAAATGCTGTTCCAATCAAAAGACATCCTTATAGACTTACTCGTCTAAATTTGGCACAGTTCAAAAACAGATTGAACACATGCTCAAAGACAACATACTCCAAGTGAGTTGAAGCGACTGGTGTTCACCCATAGTGATGGTGCCAAAACCAGATGGTAACCAATGTTTATGTGTAGACTATCGCCAAATCAATGCATCCACAAAATCCAATTCATTTCCTATTCCATGTTTGGAAGACTGTATTGAGAAGGTGGGCCAAGCAACTTATATTTCTAAGTTGGACTTACTCAGAGGAAACTGTCAGGTACATTTATCTGAACGAGTGAAGGCACTTTTGGCTTTTGTGACACCAACAGCACTGTACCAATTTAAAGTTAAAACCATTTTGTATGAAAATTGCACCAGCGACATTTCAAAGACTAACCATAAAGTCATTTCAGGATCACTCAATTGAGTGGTGTACATAGATGATCTGGTGATTTTTTTTAGTTACACATGGAAGGAACATTTGGAGCATCTACCGGAATTGTTCCTTCGACTTTGGGCGGCAGATAACACAGTGTGGAGCTAGAGGAACACAGCAGGTCAGGCAGCATCAGAGGAGCAGGAAAGTCAATGTTTTGAGTTGGGACCCTTAATCAGGACTCTGATGATTCTGCCTGACCTGCTGTGTTCCTCCACATTGTGTTGACTCTGACTCCAGCATCTGCACTTCTTACTATCTCCAGTTGGTGATAAACCTGCTAAGAGTAAGTTTGCAAAAGCCATGTTCCTGGGCCATATTATTGGACATGAACAGATGACCACATGGAATGTGAAAACAAAGGTTATTGGTGAGTTTCTCATCGATGAAGAGGAGAGTAATGTGATTCTGGGATTGAGTGGGTTTTATTGAAAGTTCATACCAAATTTTAGCAGTGTATTTGCTCTACTGACTGACCTGTTGAAGAAGTGCAGAAAATTTCAGTGGACAGTGACTGTGAGAAGGCATTTGACAGCCTGAAGGCTGTGTTAACCACTGCCCCAGTGTTAGCCACATCTAATCACACAAAGCCATTCAAGGTGGCTCTTGATGAGAGTGATGTGGGTGTCGGTGCTGTACTCTTACAATAACACAACCAGAAGATAGAAAGATCTATTGGCTATTTCTCCTGAAAGTTGAATATTCACCAAAAGAAACAGCCCATCATTGAGAAAGAGATGTTGGGTTTGGTGTTGGTGTTGCGACATTTCAACATTTATGTTGCCAGTAATGTATCTGAAATGATTGTGTGTACTGATCATAACTCCTTATCATTTCTAGAAAAGTTTAAGGATAAGAATACCAAATTGTTTAGACAGGGTTTATTGCTGTAACCAATCAGTTTGAAAATTATACATGTGGCAGAATAAGAGAATGTAATCATCAAAGTATTCATGACTTTGATGAAGGAAGATGGAAGTGTTTGATGATGGGAGAAACGAGATGGACTGTCATATTGAATGTTTGCATGTTTAGATTTAATGTACTATATATATATATAATGTTGTTTGCTAATAATGTGAGACAAAAGTCTTTGAAAATGAAGCCATCTTTCTATATTGGTGGCTCTTTTTTTCTTAAAAGGGTGGAGGTGTGACAATATATGTCTTTAAGAGGGATATCTTCTGTCCTGTTTCTCTTGAAGAGGCATATTGTTAATCTGGTGACGTTGTATCTGCTCCATGGGAAGTAGAGTAAATAGCTTTGGTTTTATTTTAAAACTAGACAAAGGAAGCATGAGTTGCTGGGGTCAGGCTCACACAGGCCTGGGTTTTAGTTTTTGCTGTCAGTTGTTGAAGTTGTCGGGGTGGGGGGATATTGAATTGAAGCTGCTATGTACAGCTCTCTGTCTGCTGCAAGATTGATTATTTTGGTTTTTCTTTTCTCCTGAAGGAGATAGCATGTGAGAGAAACCTGTTTTGCTGAATTTGCTTTTGCCCTAGGGTGTGTTTATGGGATGCTGCTGTATTAGAACAGTTGATGAGTAGTAGTTAAATAATATTTTACTTCGTTAAGCATTTTGATAGAGTTAAAGTAATGCTAATTCTTTTCCTGTTTGTATTTTAACTGTGGTGTAAGAATGAAGTGTGTTTTGCTTAAAGCCCAATAGTTTGACCTATCGAGTCACATCTGGAATACAGCAGCGTAAACCTGCCTCTGAATAAGATAAAACTTAGGGTCTAGGCTCTCTCCTTGATATATTTCGAGGGGGTTTGGTGTGGTCTTTAATATCTGTAGGTGGTATCATTGCCCTGTGGATGGTATCATGCCATCTAGTGGGGATGTGGTGATCTGCATCAGCTGCGATGGAAATGTTGGATAGCCTCTTTCCTTGCACTCAGGAATTGGGATACTGACGGATATCTATGTTTCTCTGCAGGTCTCCTTCGCCTTGAGGAATTAGTGCGGCAGTTCCTCATCTCCAAGGACTCGCTGTCAATACGAATGCTTGACCATTCCAATGACCCCACGCCCCTGTTGAAAGAAATCCGGGACGACAAGATTTCCACCATCATCATTGATGCCAATGCCTCCGTGTCTTACCTCATCCTGAAAAAGGTCAAGGCTGGTTCAGAAAAGTGTTCATTGTCATACGGGCGTGGGGGGAATGCCAGTGTTCAGCTGTTGTACGGGGGTGGGGGGAATGCCAGTGTTCAGCTGTTGTACGGGGGTGGGGGGAATGCCAATGTTCAACTATCATATCCGGGGGAAGTGAGGAATGCTGGTGTTCACTGTCATACAGGGGAGAGTGGAGTATGCCAGTGTTCACTG